CTGCACACAGTACTCCAAGTGAGGTCTCACGAGAGCAGAGTAGAGGGGCAGGATCACCTCCTTTGACCTGCTGGTCACGCTCCTTTTGATGCAGCTCAGGATACAGTTGTCTTTCTGGGCTGCGAGCACACACTGAAGCCAGCTCATGTGCATTTTGTCATTGACCAACACCCCCAAGTCCTTCTCCACAGGGCTGCTCTGAATCTCTTCTCTGCCCAGCCTATAGCTTGCCTGGGATTGCTGTGACCCAGGTGTAGGACCTTGCACCTGGCTTGGTTGGACTTCATGAGGTTGGCCTTTGCCCACCTCACAAGCATGTCAAGGTCCCTCTGGATGGCATTCCTTCCCTCCAGCGTATCAACTGAACCACACAGCTTGGTGTCATCGGCAAACTTGCTGAGGGCACACTCAATCCCACTGCCCATGTCAGCGACAAAGATGTTGAACAAGACTGGTCCCAACACCAATCCCTGAGGGACACCACTCCTTACTGGTCTCCAGCCAGACATTGAGCCGTTGACCTCAACTCTTTGTGTGCGGCCATCCAGCCAGTTCTTTATCCACGGAATGGTCCATCCATCAAATTGATGTCTCTCCAATTTAGAGACAAGGATTTTGTGTGGGACAGTGTTGAATGCTTTGCACAAGTCCAGGTAGATGACATCAGATACTCTATCCCTGTCCATCAGTTCTGTAGCTCCCTCATAGAAGGCCACCAAACTGGTCAGGCAGGATTTCCCTTTAGTGAAGCCATGCTGGATGTCACCAAGCACCTTGTTGTTTTTCATGTGCCTTAGCATGCCTTCCAGGAGAATCTGCTCCAAGATCTTGCCAAGCACAGAGGTGAGACTGACTGGTCTGTAATTCCCTGGGTCATCCATTTTCCCCTTCTTGAAAATGGGGGTTATATTTCCCGTTTTCCAGTCATCGGGAACTTCACCTGACAGCCATGATTTTTGAAATATGATAGCCAGTGGCTTAGCAACTTCATTCACCAGCTCCTTCAGGACCCGTGGATGGATTTCGTCAGGTCCCATGGACTTGTGTACGTTCAGGTTCTTAAGATGGTCTCGAAGCAGATCCTCTCCTGCAGTGTGCCTACGGTCTTCATTCTCACAGTCCCTGCGTCTGCCTTCCAAGACTTGGGTGGTGTGGTCAGAGCCTTTGCCAGTGAAGACTGAGGCTAAAAAGTCATTAAGAACCTCAGCAGAAGGCATTCAGAAACAGTTTTGGTCCTGCAGCAAACAACCATGCCACTCCCCTGTAAGCATGCAGGCTTGGCTGGTGCTGAAATTCTCTAGTGTGAGAGCAAGGAGGGCACTGCTCTAGGACTTCATCACCTTGAAGAAGGAATGGAAGAGGGTGGAATGGGTACTTCTGCTGCAAAAAACTTCACTCTCTTACTAATTCACAAACGCATTTAGAAAATTTGTGACAGTCCTTGTATTTTCTGGAAAATTCACATGGCATCTTGCAGTCCTGTAGTCAAGCAAGTGACTATAGACTTGTGTTTGTTTTTTTTCTCTTTCCTCTTCCTGGAAATGCTTTTGTGTTTTCTGGGGCAAGTTAATTTACTCCTTTTTTTTTTTCTTTTAAGATACGTCGAGAGGGTGTGCGTCTCTTTCTTTTGTGGCTGCAAGCACTTCAGAATAACTGTAGTAGAGAACAGTTGTGGATGTTTTCTTGCTTGATTCCTGGATTTTCATCACCACAGTCTGAATATGGCCCCCGAACACTAGACAATCTCATTAACCCCCCACTTAATGTTCAAGAAAGTAAGTAATTTGGTTGTATTTCTCGGTTCTGTATGTAATTCTTAGCACAGAAAAGTCAAGTTGCAGTAACAGAGAACTGATGTATGTATGTACTTAGCAAGGTTATGTGGAGCTTTTAATGAGTTTCTTGTCAGTTTATCAGGTCTTCTTCCAAGGGTAACTTTGTCTTTTGTTGTTATTGTTGGGTTTTTTTTGAAGGTGGGTTGTTGGTTTGTTTTTTTTTCTTTGTGGTTTTTTTTTTGTATTGGGTTTTTGTTTATTTTTTTTTGTTTAAGTTATGGTATAGTAGCTTAACACATAGCATGTGTTTGAATTGGTTAATGAGCAATTTTATGTAATTTTCTTGAGGGCTACAAGCAGATGCTAGATCTACTGCAAACTTGCACAGGCAGATTTCGCTTGTATTGAGCTATGGCGCACTGCCTTTGACCATGCTCTAGGGAGCAAGCTATGCAAAGCAGTTTACCTGGTATGACCTTCAAGAAGTTGTTAGGGCTGTAAGTAAAGCCAAATGGTTGGTCTTCTGGCTGTGTCTGTGTATGACCAGGCAATTAAAGCTGTGATATTCTTGTGGTTGCTTGGAATCTTCCAAAAGAATTAGACCTTGTAAATTGCAAAACCTGAGGTCATAAAAGTCTGCATTAGTGGAAAGGCTTGAGCATTCTGAAATAAGCTTTTTATACTTTCTAGATCTTAAGGTTTTTTTTATTGTGAAGGTCATTCAATAGAGTGAGGATGATTTTTCTGTTAAGATGGTTCTTAGGACAGTTTTTCTTTTGACCATTCATTCTGGCAGTAAGTATCAGACACTGGTTACTTCGGGGAGTTTCTTGCCTCCTAAATCCATTTAGTCCTGCTAGTAGGATTTCAAACTCATTTATTAATGAGTTATGTGTGGGGTCCGAAGTGCAAACTGTGCATTCACATAAATGTGAATAAGAAGCTAACCACTTTTTCCTCTGAACATTAAGTGTTGTTACTTTTTTTCCATCTCCACCCAGTGTTTTAGAGATGGTACAAGCATTGCTTTTAGAAGCAAGCAGTGTCTCCTTGACTGATAATTCAGTTTATTGAAACCTAGCAGATGAATTCCATGTCAGGATAGCTCTGCAGATAAGTTTGCTACATAATTTAAGCCCTGTTCTGGAGTTATCTTGCATATATCTCTACTGAGGGAAAGGAGTGAGAGAAGAGTAAACTTTGAAGTAGCTTCACTGTAGAGGTGAAGGAAGGAGAGAGCTAGTAAAACTTAACACAAATGTAAGTGATCAGCTGCTGAATGAAGAAAAATCATGAGAGATGCAAATAAAAAATTGGCATTTGTGTAACACAAATGTTAGGCTATTGTTTGCATAATTCCAAAAGAAGTGGATTATGCCTTCTGGAAAAAATGCCTTGGCAGGTAGATTCCAAGGGTATATAGGGCTGTGGTTTTAGATAAGTAAAAATCACTTCTGTGGTGGTTTATTAGCTAAATTTTCATAATTTTCATTAATCTGTGGGTGGATTGTTTTTCCTGTAATTGTCTCTACTTACCCCAGTGCATTTCTACTTTCATAACTTGGTAGATTCTTATGCATGAGAACAAATGGTCTAAATGTTAGATTTATTCTTTTTTTATTATTATTAAATAGCTCAAGTGACTATAGAGGAAATCACTCCACTTGTTCCTCCACAATCAGGAGATAAAGGACAAGAAGATTTAACAAGCTATTTCTTAGAAGCACTTTTGAAATACATAGTAATTCAGGTATGTTCTATAGCTTTTAAGCAAAGAAATATGAAATAACCAGTGCCTGTTTGTCTATTACAAGGCAACGTTTACTAGTAGCACTGCAAATCTGTATAAAAATGTTATAAACATTCCTATCCCTTGCCTGTCCTTTAAGTGTCCTTTGTAAAAAGTAAATCCTAGAATATCTTTCTTTATCTTCTGTGTGAAGGCTCATAGGTTTGTTTACCACACATTCTCGCATGAAATTGCAGCATGTAGAGAAAAGAATTGTCAGTCACTTCCAGCAGTGCTAATTTCAGCTCCCTTCCCTTTTTCATCTCCCTGTCCCTGCCCTTGTTGCCTTCAACAGTGAAAGTATAAACTGTGCTCAGTTGTGGGTTTTGTGGTGGTCAGGGATTTTGCTTTTCAAACTAAGGGGTAATTTCTGCCTGAAAGCAAGATGGCTTGGCAAGATGGCCATAAAAGCAGATGTATTTCTATTGGTTTTGGTATTTGATGTGTTCAAGTTCATTTTGAAGTAACATTTTAGAAAAGAACTATCGTTGTTTCATTGAAATTTCATAGCTAGTTTCTATTTCATCTTTCTTAAAGTGTTGTTTTTGTTTGTTTTTTTTTTTATAAGGTTAAGAGTTTAGAATGGAAGAACAAGGAAAACCAGGAAAAGGGATTTTCATTTTTATTCTCAAATTTTAAGAAATACTACTTACCTTCTATTTTCCCAAACATCTGTAAGGAGACCAGCTTGTACAACCCTATACTTGGTAAGTGTTAACACAGCTGATAAAGTCATTACATTTTCCCTATTAGGTTGTATAGCAAAGCATTTTTTTGCTTTGCCCATAAAGAACATTCTTCAAAAGTATTTCTAATGAAAGAAAATATGGTTCCTCTTCATGGTTTTCAGTCCTCTGTGGAGGCACCTGACCCTTTGTTCAGAGTCATGTCCTTGTAAAACAGTTCTTTAACGTGACCTCCATTGTCAATTTAAGTTGTACTCTGAGGAGAAACTACCGCTGCTGAGATAAAAGGTGTTAGTGTGCCATTCTTTGGGAGCTGTTGGTTTTATCTGTGTAGAGTCATAGTGTTTGGATCATATGGTGCTTGCTCATAGTTTGGCCAGGGCAAAGTTAGTTATGTTTTTTGTGTCAACTGTATTTTGTGAAGAGGAAAGGAAGTAGTGAGTAGAAAGAGGAAGTTAGGGTTTAACAGAATCTTTAAAGCTGATGGTGCTAGAATATACCTTTCCATATAGAGAGCAGAATTTTAGGTGTTTTCTAAGAGAACCTAGCTTTTAGCCCATTCTCAACTAGAACACTGCAAATCTTGATTTTTAGTAACTTAGGTTTGCAAGTACCCATGCACATGTTGGTTGGAAGATAATAGGGTTCAAGACCCTTGTTTGCAAAGTAGTACCACATACATAGGCTTTAAGCTGCCATTTCATTACTTGAATAATAGACACCTCACTGCACCTCTTACCTGTTTGTGTTATCTCAAGGGTTAGTAGTGATGTCCAGACACAATTTCATATTCTAAAACCAAGCTGTCATGGAAGTTTATTGAAAAGGTCTTAGATTCTGGCAGGCTGTACATGTATTTGGATGTGGCTTTCATCAGAGATGGATGTTTAAAAAACCCCGTTCTCCTGGGAAAGACAAGCAGTGGACTGTCTCATCTAGGGAGAAGAAACGGTATAAATCTAGCCATAAGCAACAGGAGAACAAGAGTTGTGTGAAGTTGCTGAAGATGTTCAGTGATAAAATAAGTACAAGAGGGATGATAAGTGATGCTGAGATGCTGAGAGAGCAAACCTACTGCTGCTTGACATCTTTGAACAAGAAATGTGGAAATGATATTTTCTCTTCCTATGAAGATCTTGATTGAGTCTTCCATAGTTCATGGAGTCATCTCTCTTTTCTGTGAACTGTAAACAAGAAGCTTTCAAGGCCTTAGTAAAGAACAGGACAATGGGAAGCAAAAAGAAGAAATGGGTACAGATCTCCAAAACTATTATCAATAACTGTGCAAGGTCAGCAACAAAAATTTTGGGAAAAATACAGTAATGAAAACAACAAAGACACTGGTAAGTAGAACAGCCTTTTCTCCTCTAAGAAATTCTTCTCTGGCATGCATCTTCCCACCCTACTTGTGAACAATTCTGTGCCTGTTCTGAACAAAATTGACAGCATTTATGCAGAAAACAGAGCAAATTTGGGCACTGAGCCTGCTACTAAAACCAGCTTCTTGTGCTACTGGTGTAGTGTTAGGGGTTGTCATGAGGTACAAAGCAAAACAGTAGTTTTAGTAAGCAAGCATTGATACAGGGCTTTACTGCAGATAGTCTCTTGGATTGAGATTTTCTTTTCTTTCTGTGAAGCCAGATTTTTAGATAAGTATATTAGTTACAGTAACAAGCGCTAGTTTTTCCAATTATAAGACACTTGTATTGTGCTTCCTCCAAATTTTGGCTTGAGTATTACAGGCTTAGAAGAACCCATGAGATTAGTTTGGGGCTTTGTTTGTTTGTTTTGAATGTCTTTTAACATCTGTAAGACAGTCTTTAGAAACTGTTTAGTAAGAACTGCAGATCTGACCATAAGATTGCAAGGGCATTGTTTCTTTCATCATAATGATGTGCCTTTGTGCCATTTCCAAGGCATTTAGATGGGCTGCTTCTTTTACTGAGAAACAAAGTGAGCAGTGCCACAGTTCTCTGCAGCACTTCATTCCTTCTGAACCCTTTATTACTTTACAAAGTAAGCATGGTCAAAACTACAAGTATCTACCTTTGTAACTTCTTGCTAGCCTTTTCATTTTCTACCCTGCTTATGTCTTCCACCTTACAGCTTCCTGTCTTTTTTGGCACCAGCTTACATCAAATTCCTAGAGGGGAGGGGTGGGGGATGAGGAAAGACCCAAAACAACAAAAAAAAAGGAAAAATTGAAAGTTAAGGGGAAGGGAGTATTTCCTCCTGTGCTACTTGAGTTAATCTAATGAGCTTATTTGCTTTTGTTTTGTGTCAGCATCCTCATTTGGAGCCTTGACAGCTACTTCCAAGATGGACAGGAATGTGAAAATACAAGAAATGACTGAAGGAGGATACATTTGAGAATCAGCTGCACCAAATAATGTAGTTGAGAGGAACTAGAGCAAGACGATGTTCTGTGAGAGTATCATGAAACTACAGAAGGAGACGGTGTGCTGCAAAGATGTATTAACTGCATGTCGACTGGATGTCTTGTCCTTTTGAAAATAGTGCCAGTATTGCAGGTTTCATGCCCTGATGAATGCTAATAGATACCAGAGGAAACTGATTTTTGCATCTTTAAATACTGCATTACCAGACATTTGCTTCCTTTTTTATACTGATTGTGCTGTTTTATATGCTTTTGTTTAAGATATATTAATTTTCTTACTAACCTGCTGCTTTCCACAGAATGCAAACAATGTACTGGTTTTTATTTGTAGTAAATAAAGTCTTTGTGAGTTTTTTAAGTATTCTGTGGATTTATTACTTAGGTAGATTGTATGCAAGAGTCATGTAGTTTTTTCCTCTTAAAATAATGCTTCCATTAAAAATAGTGGATATAACTTTAAAGTCTGGTCTGGAAACATTCCTCAGTTTAGCAACACCATGATGAGTTTTTCACTACTTTTGTATGTGGCTGTTGAAATGACAATGAGATACACCAGCTTGGACATCCTCAATGCTAGTGGTGGATTTTGTATTGTTTATTTGTAATGTTAACAAGGAAACCTTTCCAGCAGTTTGGCAGGTAGGCAGTGTTCACTTCAAATGCCTAAAAAAGGCTATTGTAAGTCAGTTGCCTAGATAGTAGCTGAATATTTCTTTGCTGCTATCTAGATGTGTTTCTCCTGAAGTATGAGACCATAATGTGGCAGAAGTTATGCTGGATTTCCTAAAACAACTAAGCAACTCTCAACCTTGCATTAGTAAAATATAGTCAAGGAACAACTTTATATCTTTCAACATGACTACTTTGCATCTTCTTTGACTCCTACCATTAGTATCTTTTAACTGCCTTCTGGCCTGTAAAACCATGGAATGTATCTCTTACTCAGATCTGGATAGGATCATCGTTTTCCATGCCTCCTTATTTCTATTTTCTGTTTGGTTGGTTTGGTTTGGCTGGTTGGTTGGTTTTTGGTTGTTTTGTTTGTTTGTTTTTTTTTGTTTTGTTTGTTTGCTTGTTTTTGGGGGGGGGAGAGAAAGTTGTCACCAGATGAAAGTAATGGTACTGAAACACCGCCAGCAGGGTGTGTTCTGACAGCATGTGTTAAAATTGGTTCTCAGACAGATTTTCATCTACTTCTTCTATCAGAGCAGATCTCATACTTGCCCTTCTAGAACTAGGAATAGACATGGCATGCTACTCGCAGAGAAATGTCATCCGCATCTGAAAGTACTTCAGACTGATGATTAGTATTGCAGAAATGACATTTTGCGGTGTCGAGTTGGCTGATACATGGCTGGATTGAACTGGGCTGTTGATATTTGTCTGTGCAGCGATGTCCATTATGCACAATTTAAAAAAACAGTCCATATGTTTAAAAAAACCAGCACATATGAAATGCCCTTTCCCCCTGCCCTCTCTGCTCCATCTTTGTTATGGGTTTACTTTGCATGTAAATTCCAACCTTGTTGAATTATTACTGTCACTTTTTCTGAAGCAGATTCAGGAATACTGATGACACTGTTGGCATCTTTGTCACTAGCACAGTAGAGAACTAGAACTAAACAGTCCTGAGCCATCATGTAGAATGCCTGATGAGAAGATAGAATTGTAGGCTATAGACCCCAAATAACCACAGTGCCTGCCAGTTGGCACACCACTGGGCATTGTTCATGATATTCGCTGCAAGCCCGTATACAGAAGTTATGACCACAGAATCATCTTTCAGCTAAGTCATAGGAAGATCAATGTGCCCTTGCTTTGGCAGTAAACTCCAGGAAAATTAGCTAGTGCAGATGTGGGACTAGATGAAGCTGCCAGACTCATGTGGTGGCTTTGGAGCAGAACGTCTTCTGTTCTATTCATCTTTCTAATCATCTATTCATCTCTGTTCATCTGTTTCATCTTTCTATTCATCTTTGCTGTTCTTTCATCTTTTTCTGCATCTTTCACCTGTTGAAGGGCCAGAAGAGACTGTGCTTATTGCATTTACTGTTAAAATACAGTTTGGAATTAAAGCTTTCCCATTATAGCCATAATTAGATGTTGGGATCTGTATCATTAATAACTGATGACCCTTATTGCTAATTATATTGCTTTATTGTGAATTGCTGCAGACCACCATAGAGATCTTTCTAGGGATGCATTATTAAATGCAGTGATCACTTGCCTCTGAACTGTATCTGCTTTTCCCAGTAGGTTTGATAGTAGGGGATATGACATACAGGACTCTTAAAAGGCTGTAAAATGGTATCACTCATGTACATTGTTACTTAGTAACTTAAACAACTATAAACACATCTTAAAAATGAAGACATTTGACTATCTTAATTCTGTATGAAGGCAGTTTTCTCCTGTAGGCCATATTCCAGTCTAATTAACAATTATTTTGGTACTTAGAACCCCTTTGTAGTTTTTTAGGTGCACGTGTGGAGTAGTGAGTTTGCTTTGTTAGTTTTATCTTTAAATTTTTGGTATAGCATGTAGCTTAAAATAAGCTGGAAACAAAAGAAATGTGTTCACTTGTTTTAAAGAAAAAAGTGCAAGCAAAGATGTAAGGCTATAGAAATCACTTTCTGATAAAAAATTAAAGGTTTTGCATAGCAACAACAAGTTTCTGTCTCTTGGACCAACAGTATTGTTTCCCTCCAGGAGACAGTTACAGCCTCATGAAGTCTTATAGTCTAGTCTTGAAATTTTCTCTGTGTCCGTTCTGGCACACCTTAGAATGAGTTGTGCAACAGTGAATAGAAAAAATAGTGCCTCTGAATGTTCACGTGTATTGGTTATGATTTTAGGATTTCTTTCTTGTGTAGAGCTTTCTTTCTGCAGCTGTTTTTAAGATGATGTGTTTCCTTACAGATATACCACAAATGAGACCAAAGCCACATTACGTAATGGTTAAGAAGGATGCTGAAACCAATGAGGCAGTGTACTGCACAAAAGAACCTTTTATTAAGGCTCGTGTTATTGTCATTCGATGGTTGGTGTCTTTCTGGCTTGAGCCAAAACCTCATACAGGACCTCATATTCCTGGAATGGAAGGTGAAAATGTGCCAAAGAATATTCAGGTAAAACCAAATATATAAAAAAGTTTGGGTTTGTTTTTTTGCCTTAATTATTATGTCAGCAGCATGCAGTCCTGAAAAATTAAAACAAAGGAATTTCTAAGCAAATTTTCTGCTTGTGAATTCACTTTAGTGAGACTCACTATGGGTTTTTTTAGTAGTTTTTTGTTTTTTGTTGTTTTTCAAGTTCTGCTATTTTAATCACATAGCTGTAAGAAGCTTTGAAATACATTGAATCCTCTTTTGGTTTTGTGGTTTTTTTTTAATTTTTTTCTGAATCCTTTGTACTGTTTTAAATTATACTGTTGTATAACTTGTACAGTGCACTTTGTACAAGTTAATGGTTGCACTAAACATGAGCTATAGAATATTATTCTTTTTTTTCCAGAGAGCAGCTGCTAGCATGGCTTCACGGGAAGACAGCAAAAATGACAGTACTGATAAGCAGGATAGAAATGCAGAGCCAGAACAATCTCATTCTAATACAAGTACTTTAACAGAGAGAGAACCAAGTTCTTCCAGCCTCTGCAGTATTGATGAAGAGCATTTAACCGATATTGAAATTGTCCGAAAAGTCTTTTCTGCTAAAAGAAGCAATGTTAATTTTCTAACTGAGATTTTTCGACAGGTAAAGAACCATTTTTAAAATGCAGTAATCTTTATTATATTATAAATGATCGTTATGTCATTGTTTTTTTTTCAAGAGCATTTGCTAAGCAGAACGCTACATAAATGTACAAGTTTTTTCTGTCATCTTGCCTTGAAGGTTTTAAGTATGGAAAACTTAAAATTCTGAAATGTTTTCTGTGTAGAATATCTACAGTTTCTGATTTTTCTACTTTTATTTCTTTAATAAGCAGTTTGACAACATTTAACTTGGACTTTATAGTTCCCCATAGACAGGAGTTTTCTATCTTTTCATACATCAGCCCCATAGCTATTAGAACTCTCAACCAAGCATATTAAAATAAACCTTCTGTGGGAGTCTGCAGCTGTTAAAGAGTTGTTTTGGGAGCAGCTGAATATCCTTTCCTTGATAGTTTTCATCAGAAGAGTGGGACACATAGCTTTAGAAGGTAACAGCTTCTGCTTCTGACTTTACTGTAACCAGAAATGTTAGCTGGGCGTACTCAAAATAGTGTTTCTCAACTGGAAACTATTAATCAAATTTAAACTGAGAACATATGCTAGAATACGTAGCCTTTATTTATGATGTGAAAATACGTAACTTTGAGTTAAATGTGTGAGAACAGATAGACTCTCTTTATGGCCCATTCTATAGATCAAAAGATGAAGAATTTTTTCCAAACAATAGTAAAGAAGAAAAGTATTACGTTTCGGTTGAAATGCATTGCACTAATTGCTTTAAACAGCAAAAACCTAAGTATTTTAAAATTCCGGTATATCTGGATGAAAGGGATTTTTTTGAATGAGGAAATGAATGTCAGTAGCTTATCCATTCAATGTATAGAAGAGTTTGGACACACTACTGAGGGAGGTAAGTTACCCGAGTTCAGCTACCACTCAAGGGTATACAGAGTCTGAGACATTGAATATAGAATCTAAATTTTTGATGGGCTGTTTAGAAACTTTCGTCCCCGAGCCCCATTCCCTCAGTGAAAGGGACAGCATTCTTCATTCTTTTCACAAGGCAGTCTGTGAGTTATGCAGGTTATCTGGATTTCATGTGAGGTTATGCAGTCTCATTTAAGTCATTGTTTAGCCTGAAGTTTTCAGTGTAAGTTCACTTCTTATGTGCCAGATATTTTTAATTTTTCTAAAACATTAGGCTAAGTTATTCCAGTTAGGAAAAGGTTTAAGTTGAACTGCATGGTGAGAAGATTGTCCATAAAAAAAAAAAAAAGTTTTATGCATTTTAGACTCCAGGGTACAAAAAATATATATGAGCTCACAGAAGACTGTTGGACTTGATGAGCTATAGTGTGTAACTGATGAATTTGTCAGTTGAATTCTGTAATACACAATAATTTTTAGTGCAATACTGGTATGAAATGCGTATTTCCAGAGAGAGAGCACCTGCTTGTGTCAAATGAGCACTCCTAAAAGACGTGGGCAGTGAGTTTTCGACATTCACGTCATGGACTCCATAAAACTATGTGTTGGTGGAGCTTAATCTGTTCTTTTCTAAATACAATTAGGGCGTCTCAGTCTTTGGTAAATGTATTTTAAGTTAGTTAAAACCTGACTAATATTAAAAGTTTCTGATCTGTGA